CCATGATAAAAAATAAAGAACCGTGGAAGCTAGAAAGTATATTCTTTTGTTACCTTGATCGGATAGCCACTGTAAGCTATCCAATTCACTAGTGGACGCCTTTAAAATGCACTGGAGAACAGTCTCAGTACTATGTTCACGAGGTAGAGGTTCACTGGTTGGCTTCATTTTTCTTTTTTATATTATTCCTGTCTAATAAAAACAGAAACACACTTAAGCCTTGAGAAATGGTTACCGGTACTTGCTTCGCCTTTCACCATTACTTTTCTTAGGATACCAGCCTTTTTCCCCCAGAGTTGCTTCTTACACTGATTTCTAATGATTTCCATTGACCTCATTGGGTAAGCATACTTACATATTTATTCATTCATCAAACTCATGATTCTGGATTGCTATCAGTATTAAAATATAAAGTCACAAAAAGCAGAAAAACAACAACACAGAAAAGCAACACCCACAGTTAAAAACAGACCCACTATTCACAAGTTAACCTAACTGATGCACTCAGCCACACTCCTGATGATAAAAGAACTGACCATATACAGATAATTCCTGGGTTATGATGGCAATTGGGACCAGGATTCCCTGCATAAATGATGCAGTCATAAAGTGCAATGCAATTGCTTAGTGATGGCAATGCGGGATGAGACAGAACGTTAGGTAAGGAGCATGGGCATGTTGTGTGGGGATGGGAAGTGCCATGGTGGAGGGGAGGCCAGGGACATCTGAGAGCCAGCAAAGTCAATAAACTAAATGAGCAATGCCAGAAGAGGGCCTGGGTGCCTGGACTCTTAATTTAGCACCAATACTACATTGCTGCCTCATATTCCAATTGTGATTAATGGATTGTAGCAAAATATGCATTATTTTTAACTCTAGTATACAACTCTTCGACTTTTTATGCGTTGTATTACTTCTCAGCTCTCTTCCAGAGGCTTAAAGTTAAAGCTCTTCGCAGCATACTCAGAGACTTCTAATTGTATACCACTGGAACAAATGGGAGGATACTCCTTAACTTTTTTTTATTACAGAGAATTTCTAGAATTGCAAGATTTTCAAGAAGGAGCAACAGTGGAGGAAAAGCAAACTTAGCCAATTTCACATTAACTTTATTACCTGTCCATGGTATATCTCCCTAGTGATTTCAAAAGCTATTTTGCACAAAACCCACATATTCTTCTGTCTATTGATTATATTTCCATTCAAAGTCATCTCATGTCACTCATCTGAAATTGACTGATAGATTTCCCTATGGGAGCAGAATACAACCATAAATTGCCTTTTACCTACAAGGCGAAGCTGAATCTCAACATGATCTGATGAGGTACTCCATCGGACTAGACATCTATGGCTGCAATGAAAGGTGTCTGTACAAACTCTTATTTTGTCCTTTATTAGAGGAAAACAGTTGTACACTGCCTGACCATGCCAAGGATAAGTCACAAGTACTATATGCATATAATAGTGGGAAGAAAAAAACCTTAATAAATGGAAACCAGAAACACCTGAGAGGATGTTCAAAGTTTTAAGCATGTTTGATCCTTTCATTCTATAAAATTAATTTTCTCATCTGGGTCACTTTCAATCACCAAGGGTTTTAGGCAGAAGTGTTTTCATGACAAACATGTTTAATCCTCCTGCCTCTTCTCCACAACCACAATTATATAAGATAAGCCAATCAGAGAGAGAGAGAGAGAGCAAGAGCGGTTAGCTCAAAGTCAACCAACTGACTTTCATGCTTAGAGCTCAAATCTGGTTTCCAGCCCAGCTCCTGAGCCACTATGCCAAACTGGTTATGATGCACCAATACCAGAGAATGCACACTTGTTCCTCCTCCAGAGCCCCCAGCTGCCCTTCGATGGTGACCTTTTGTGTCCTCCTGGGATCTCCAGCAAGGAGTCTCTTGACGGTGCTGGATCAAATCTAAAAATCCCCAGGCAATGTAGCATTGGTGATGGGCTGGAAGTGATGGAGAAGTGGCCCAACATAGCTAGAGGGCAAAAGAATAGGGAAGAAGTTATCCAAAGTGACCGCATCAGGATATGCCCGAGATCGCCAGAGCTCTCCTAAGGGCAGTAAAATAATTATGATCTCTCTCGCTCGCTCACGCTCACATACACACACACACATACCGACAATGCGCAAAGCGCTTTCCCACCTCCATCAAAGCTGTTCCACGAATTAAGGACTTTTCAAGTCCTTTTGATAATCGTTACTTGGAAACTTACTACAGTACTTGGATTGCTGAAAAAAGCGGCGTGCAAGGGAGAAGAAAGGAGCAAAATGAGCCCGCCCGATTCAACTCCCATGAATTGTGACTCACTGAATTCATCTGCGGTGCCCAACGCGAATTGCGCCCTCCCGCGTGTAGTCGCAGAGAACCGAGACATAGGCCGCGGCAGCAACCACGCGTCGCTTAGCAACGCTAGTACCAAGCGTTTCCCCAAAGGCCTACGCCCTGCCAACGACCCGCCCTTCACTTTCACGTCCGCGTGAGCATGCGCGCACGCTGACCAGCGAAAGGAACGGGAAGCTGATCAATTGGTATTCAGTCTCGTCAAGTGGGCCCTTGAGCGGAGGAGTTGCTTGGGCTGGATCCCTATTTTTCAACCTTGGCAACTTTTAAGATGTTTGGATTTCAACTCCCAGAATTCCCCAGCCAGCCATGATGCAAGCCGGTTCCTAGCAATAGAATAGAGCAAGCGCCTCAAAAAAAGAGTACAGTAGATATTTTTTCCAAACCTGTATACAACATTTGATACAGTCCTGAAAACAATCTATCTGAGTCGTACAAAGAGGTGAACTTGTAAATAGAAAGGGAGAGGGACTCAAATGCCAAACAATAATGAGGGGAAGGTGTAGGAATCCCCATTTATACTTGACAAATCTTGTCTGAATTAATAGCAATCTAAAGACCAAGAGAGAAGTAGAACTTGGAAGATATGATTACAGTGCTTAGCAGAATAATTTCAAAGCAATTTGCAATTTGTTGGTAACAGTTTACTTTGTTTTTTGGGATAGCGTTATTTATTATTGATATAATAAAGGAGAGAGACACATCTGCTGCTAAAATGGTAATGCTGGTCTTACTGATTTTAAGAGACGCTAAACTCAGTATAGTCAAACACATCTTGGACTTCTGTTGCAAGGAAAATCCATCTGGTTCAGTTCCAAGCTGGGAGAAAGACGCTATAAACAACATGGAGGCTAACTGGAAAGAAAGTTTAATCATGAACAGAACTAACAGCAGTTCTGGGTCACATGGTTGAATGAGTGGATGGATCTTTATAGGTTTCTGTGACTTTGAACTTTGAACTGTTCTAGGGGTGGTGCAATGAAGGGTGTCAGGCAATTCCTATTATAGCTAATGGCTTTCGTCCTGTGTTGGATCTTGGGTGAAGAGCTGTTTTCTAATCCTACCATTCTGCCTTTGTTAGCTGTCAAACTTTGCTGCAATAGTTTCGAAATATCCTGTCTTGAATGGATTTCTGCCTGTATTTGTTTTGCTTATGAATAGAGCTATCTAGATAGTTGGTTTCTCTTTCAATAAGCTCTTTTAGTGCTGGCATTTAAGTGCCCTTAAGTGCTGGCATCTGCTGTGAATATTAAGAAAGACTGCGGACTGCTTTCTGCCTCTAAAGACATGTTTCTCCATTTCTCCTTTAGGGTTAGGGTTATATAATATTCTATTATATAATATAATAACATTATATACTATTAGGGAAATATAATATTCTGCCTTTTTAATATTTCCCAAAATATTTCATTTTTCTGAGGTGGGGTGGAGGGCTTTCCATACTTCAAAAGGCATATTTTGATAAAGTTAGAATAAAGTTATTAGAATTACATGTTAGAAAAAGCTAATGGACAAGAAGGATGGGAATTTCTAAGAAGAGAATGAGCAAACATTTCCACTGTATGTGTGTGTGTATGTGTGTGTGTATGTGTGTGTGTATGTGTGTGTATAGGGGAAGGAAGATAGCAGAAGAAATATGGCTACACCATATTTCAATATGCTTAGAGAAAGTCTGGAAATCATGATAAACATATATAGGAAACTAGAAAGAGGAATAGAGTATGAAGAAAGAGGAACAGCATGAAGAAATAGTGCATATTTGTAGCCTAAAATTGTAGAATTTATGTCAGAAAAACTAAGGATCAAAATGACCTAAGGTTTAATGAAGAATGCTAAGAACAACAAAAGTTTGTATGTGGATCTTTGGTTATTCGGGTTTTCTCCCACGTAAAATTGGAAGTATCTTGGCTTCCAATTTTACACGGGAGAAAACCCGAATAACCAAAGATCCACATACAAATACCCGCGAAAACCTCAGAAAACAAATATATATATATATGTATGCATGTATGTATGTATGTATATGTGTGCATGTGTGTATATATACATATACATGTACATGTACCTGTACATATACATATACATATACATATACATACATACATACATACATACATACATACATACATACATATATAGCCTATTCAAGCCAAAGCAGATGTTTAGGAGTAAGCTCTACTGAAGTTTATGTCAGCGGACATAAGACAGAGTATAAATGTTAATATGAGTTGCATCTTTAATCTCTTAAGGATGCTGACTTCTTTTGTAACATCTTGCCATAGGCTAAAGGAACTCCATCAGTCAACTCAGGAACTAACTGGTGTAGAAGTAGGAATATGTTCAAAGAACTTCAAAGTAAACATCAGTCATTCTTTTAGAATAATTGTTGACCTTCCTTGTGGTTGTGGTAAAGGGAGGAGCTGGAAGGCAGAGCCATCAACTGTGATTGACTGTTGTGTATGTGTGATACGTGCCTGGTTGCACTGTGCTGCATGGCTGCTCCACCTGTCCTCAGTCTGTCCTGCACCCTCCTATCTCATAAGCATAACAAGTTGAGAAAGGCCAATCATCTTCCCAGCCAAACAGATTGGCTTGCATGTGCTCTTGTTTGTGTACGTGCAGAAGCTGGTTTGCTGCAGAGAGGGCGGGACTGCAGCCAGAGTGAGTGTTCATGAGCTGACGCTGCCAGTCTTGGAATCAGATGCACTAGCATGTACCACGGAGCTGTGCTCAAGAAGCCTACAACCGTTTTTTTGGTGACAAGTCTACCAAAAGAGCAAAAATGCTTTTATGGGATGCTAACTCAGAGGTAAGGAATACATTCTGAAAGGGTGACTGTCTTGGAAATTGCATGTCTTTTTGTAATGCTTACCATTTCTTATTCCTTTGTTAATGAAAGAGTGGTGAATCTACACAAGGACTATGCTTCAAATGCTCCTCTGTTTTATAGCCTCATGGCCCGAGTCCTTTGTTGGAAGCAGGGACAGAAGTCAATCTAGCTGCTGCTGCCTTTGTTCAGTCACCAGCTCACCTGGCTGCTGGTGGAGGCCATGCCTTCTTCCTTCTTTGGCAACTGCAGACGGGAGCCAATCTGAACCAACAGGTACATTTTCAACTTTTCAATAGGTACATTTTCAACTTTTCCAACGGAGCCTGACTTTTCCATTTTATGTTGAAAGAAACAGCCACTATCTGAGACTATGAACAAGGAAAATGTAACATGAAGGTACACCTGAGTAGTTTAGAACATTCTGCTTTATGTTGGCTAGAATTGCCATCAAGTATGCAGTAGTACTAAATGAAGTATCATGGTCCTGGGAATAGAAAAATGTTTCGTTAAGAGAAGATATGTTTGTCTTAAGTTAGTAACTTGTTTCCAATACTACTTTTCAAAGGACAAAAATAAAACCTATTATTTTCAAGCCATGTTTGATCATAAATTTTAGTAGGCCCAATTTGTGTGTTTTTTTAACTCATCTTAATGGATAAAGCTTTTTTAGCTTTCAAATAGTATCTACTAAGACAAGATTTTAGAATTGACAATCATATTACACTTTAAATTAAACTTATTTAACTACCACCATCATCCCTTTAAATATTAACACTAAACAATGATGAAGTGATTGGATTTACAAACAAAGTATTTTTTTTTTAATTAGGATTGGCTTGGAGAAGCTCCCATTCATAAGGCAGCTAAAGTTGGAAGTTTGGAGTGTCTCACTTTACTCGTTGCCAGTCAGGCCAACATCGAGTAAGTACATCCCATACTGATTTCATCAAACAATTTCACTATTTTTGCATTAAATTATATTTTCAATTGAATGTAACTTTTTCTCCTAATCCGATTTTCTGAAGGGTTGCTTGTGACAAGTTACTCAAAATGTGAAAAAGCTTGCCTAGTTTGTTCAACTTTGAATTTTAGACTATTTTACACAAATATCTTGCTAATTGGGTGCAAGAAGCTTCAAATTATTTCTTTTTGGTAGAGGATAGGTGTTTAGGCTCCAATTCAGTAAAGAAATTTATACTTCAATCCATAGAAATCAAAAGAGCTTAACATTATATATAACTTGTGTTATTGATTTCAACAGAACAAGCATGATCACCAATTACTTGCCTAGATTAATTCTATTTCTGTGTAACCAGATACTAGCCTGGTTGCAATTTGTTTCATATGGAACTTATTTCCACAACCACAGTTGAGCCCAAAATTTATGCTGCTGAGAAATTTGTTGAGTTTTGCCCCATTTTGTGACTTTTCTTGCCACATTTGTTAAGTGAATCACTCCAGTTAAGTTAGGAACATGGTTGTTAAGTGAATCTGGCTTCCCCAATGACTTTGGTTGTCAGAAGATCGCAAACTGGGATCATATGATCCTGGGACACTATAATCATCATAAAGATGAACCAGTTGTCAAACATCTGATTGTAAATCATGGGGTCGTAAGTATGAAAAACAATCACAAATTGCTTTTTTCAATGCTATTGCAATTTTGAATGGTCACTAAATGAACTATTTTATGTTGAGAACTACCTGTACATGGTCTTTTTTTGGAAAAAAAATCTCTGGATTACAAAAAGGCTTGTCAGTAGATGTTCATACATTTGGGCTGTAGTGTTTCAACTCAATATTGTATTCAATTTTTTTTTAAAAAAATCTGGTGTAGTTGTATGAAAAATGGAAGATTCCCAGTCAAATGAACTGGTTTTCTTTTAAATGTGTGTTTCAGCTTGCGTAATAATAATAGCCAAACAGCAGAAGACCTTGCCCTGGCTTTGGGGTTTTTGGAGTGTGCCCAGTTCCTTATGAAAGTGAAACAGATTCAGAACCTGAAAGCAGGAGCACAGTATAACTCTTCTTTGCATGACAGTGACGAATCCATCCATAGCGATGCTTCCAAAAGGCAGAAAGGACTGTGGGAAGGGAATAGACTCATCAACAGAAAGAGAAGGAGATCAAATGGTAAGGCAGTTTCTTCGAAATTTTAATCCAATTCAAGATTGGTCAAACTGATTATATATGTAGTACGTTACACAGGGACAGAACTAGTTAGAATCCTCTAAAGAATGTTGATCAAGATACTCCGAATCTAAAATTTCAAGCAGACTATATTATCTTGTCCAGATTCTGTTAGTTGTACACCATACTTCAGGAAGCAGGGCTTCTGCAGCAATAGTGATTGGCCTCCAAATGGCAGGCATAAGGGTGGGCGATCAAATATATACATGGGATATATATATATATTTATTAGATTTGCTCCTGAATAATATTCCATATTCCTAGCAGAGAAGTCTGCATTGACAGTCACTGGCACCACCCCCTCACTACAGGTAGTTCTCAACTTACGATAAGAATAGAGTCCCAAATTTTTGTCACTAAGTGATACATTTGTTAAGTAAATTTTGCCCCATTGTGCAATCTTTCTTGGCAGTTATTAAGTGAATCACTGCAGTTGTTAGTGACATGGTTAATCTGGCTTCCCCATTGACTGCTTGTCAGAAGGTTGCAAAAGGTAATCACACGACCCTGGCATACTGCAACCATCATAAATATGAGTCAGTTGCCAAGCGTCTTAATTTTGATCATGTAACTGTGGGGATGCTAAAACAATCATGTAAAAATTGCTCATAAATCACTTTTTCCAGTGTCATTTAACTTTGAACAAACTGCTGTAAGTCAAGGACTAACTGTAGTTGTAGTCTTATGGATTTATTATAACTTTCTACATCTGTTTTCTCTTTAAAGTTTTCTGTTGATAATTGCCATGCTTAATGTGGTATACAGCGCTCTAGGAATTTTAGAATGCCGTTTTGTACATGTTGACTTAAAGATAAATTCTGAGCTCAGTAAAAGTAATTCTAGGCGTGAATATAGTATTAGTGATAGTTTTATTGTTAGTATTCTTTTTTGTACATTGCCTAAGTGAGTACTTGTTCGAAAAGTAAGTAAAATATTGTGGTGGATTGAAGGAAGTTGGATTATCTTGGGAGGAAGAACAAAGATCTACATAAGCTAAGACAGACCAGAACTGACAGACTTGAGCTGTTACCTGCTCAAGATTAATTTCTAATCCACTATATTGAAATTAGATGTTGTACAATGTTATAGCACATGCTTAATTCAAAACTGAATTCTACAGCTGAAAAGCAAGTCTTTCCATTTATACAGATTTGAACTCATGTGAAAATGAGTAAGCGAGAAATACGGATATTCAAAGCTCTGCAAACAAAAACATGAATCTACAACTTCAATGCAAAGTACTTTGAACAATGCCTTCTACGAAGGAAAGTGTGTTCTTCTTGAAGAAGATTTCATATAATTTCTTTGTGTGCACAATAATAACATACAGTAATATTTTTCTACCATTGATTCATGTATCATTTTGTGACTGGTATATTGATGTTCTTTACTCATGGGAACACACGAATAAGCAAAGCAGTAGATAGTATCCTGGCAATCAACACATTGTTCAGGTTAAACAAATATGTATTATGTTGATAAAATTGTGTTCTGTAGGTGTGCTTCTGTCAGCAAATTTTGTACAGAACCTTTTTGTAATAACTTGCACTGTAACTATATCTTCTTACTTCTGTTGCTGCAAATCTGAGATTGCAAATCTATTCAATATCACACTGGGAGCACGCCACTTTCAAAGGACAGGTGTAGAAATTAGTTGTTAATATTTGATGACAAAAGCAGGAAGCTATTCAAAATTAACAGGATATAACCAGATTTTATTTGAAAAATAATCTTGTACATAATTTGTGCTCTGAAATACTAGAGCAGTAATTTTATTTCAATGGGATTATGAGAAGCATGATATTAAATACAAATAAACCATATATACAGAAAGCAGCTAGTTTATCACAACTGTATCATTCAATGCAAATATTCAAATACATTTTGGTCGCTGAGGTAGACACAAATTATAGTAAGCATCTTTGTTCCAGAAATCTGGACCCTTCCAGCCGCACCAGCCCTGTAAAAAAAAGGAAGAGAAAATGAAATTCAATGTTTTAATCCATTGCTGATGTGTTAGTAAAAGAACTGGTTTTATGTATTCGTACAAACACAAAAGCTAAATTGAAAGCTATAAATAATTACAGTTATTCAGCAGCAGATTTATGCATTTTGAGATAACAGGATTTTATTTGGCTTATGTCTCTGTTCATTGGATGAGTGTTTACAATGTAAATATGGTCAATAAACTTCCAATTATATATAAAATAAAGCTATAAAAACAGAAAACGTGTTTGCCAGAGACGAACTCTTTTACAAACTGAATTTGAGTAACAAATTGCCAGAAAATTACACTGAATTGATGGATGTGCCTTTGAATTAATCAAGAGTAGACCTCAAATAAAGGGGATATTAACTATTGACAGTTTAGTAAAATAGAATAAGAGAAATTTGATATATTAATTAACATTAATTAAATATAGCAGAATATAACAAAAAGAGTTTTTGCTTCCATTTCAATTGCCTACTATTACAGTTTGCATCTAAGTCAACAATGTGCTGAATCCGATACTTCATTGAAAGAAGTTATTTGTTTAAAAGGTTAAGAATAGAGCTGTACACAAAGCTTAATCAAAGCCAGAAACAATATGTTTATTTTCTTTAAACCACACACTCACACACTATAAGCAATTCACTATTTCGCACACTTAATGACAATTACAAAACAAAGGCAAACTCCAAATGTGGAACCGTTCACCCAGATCTTAGCATGTGAGGGTCATCCTACTTGGAATTTATGAAAATAGTGTTTCAACACTGTTCCCACCATCTGAGAGAAAAACTTACAAATAACAGCATATATTCTGTTCAGGCTAAAAGGAAAAACACATTGTTCATTCCGATTCTCTGTAATAAACATGGAAATATGTGTATTTTAAAACTAGTTGAAGTTCAGGTTTATTAAGTTAAGCTATTTCCTATTTAAGGTACTTCCAGTTCTACTGAAACTGTTTCAGCAGTATTAAAGAGGATTTTGTGAATCTGACTGCATTGGTTTATGGGTTAGTTGAAACAAAATCTATGTTATCACAGTACAGTGATATATTTCTTTGACAAGACCTCTCCTTTGTAGAAATTAAAATTGTGAATTTTATACAAAATACCAGTACATTTAAGAACAATGAATATGAATACAATGCTTTTAAAAAAATCAAAATATCTGTTATGTAAGTCAATTGTGAAGAAAGTCTCACCTTTTCTAATATAACATGCAGGTCCTCAGCACCAGTGTAATGTGGATCCAGAATCAAAAATTTAACATGCCCAGTGATCTCATTCCATGCCACCCCTAATATAGTGTGTGCCAAGACTCCACCACCTAGGAAAGCCAGAGAAAAGATAAAGCTGAAGATATAGCTGAAGCAGTGTGTTCCATGGCAATTCATTACTATTGGGCCACCAATATATACAACTTATTTTCAGTGCCTTTGCTGCAAAACAAACATGTCAATTCTCAATGAGGGACTGCTTTTTGCAGTGATTTCCTCCCTTTTAGCAAGTGAGAATGTCCATGAGGGCTTTCTTTGGCATTAGATGTTGGCATGCACTTGGTATATCGCACAATGTATACAGCCTTTGGGAGTGGATGTCAACCCTGCTTCTCAACCATATGATAAGAGGACCTATCCTTGATAAAATAATTAATTGTGATAAAGAGAACATGCTTAACAGTACTATATCCTTGTCAACTCTTTTGTCAAAACAAATAGCAAAGAACACAATATGCAGATAACTTAGAAAGCCCTAACTTCCTTGAAGGCCATTGTAACTTCAAATATTTGGTGGACAAGTAAATGTTATCCCACACCCTAAATTGTGGTTGCTGAGAACAGTGTTTGTCAACCTGTGTTTTATAAATTTTTGCAGCTTCTGCTAAAGCTCGCTTAATGTTTTCCCATGAGTTTTTCAAAGAAGCCATCCATTCATTTACTGACATGGATGAAAGGAGTTCTCTAGCTAACTCCGGCATAGGAACAAATTCCATCCCAGTGTTAATTTGAAATGGAGTTAATCCCGTGCTACTGTGTACTGCATTATTGTAAGCTACCTCAGCAAACAGTAACAACTCAGCCCAGTCTGACTGTTGGTAATTTATATAACATTTCAAATATTGCCCAATCATTGCATTCATAAGTTCCACTGCCCAATTAGTGCTCGGATGAAAAGACGAGCTTAACCCCCGGGACAACCCAATAGCCTTAATAAAGTCCTTCCAGAACTTCACAATGAATTGGATTCCCCTACCTGAAATGATTCTGTGAGGGACCCCATGTAACCTATAGATGTGTTTAACAAACAGTCTGCGTAATTTCTTTGCTGAGACCATTGCACACAATAAAATGGGCTTGTTTGCAGAATAAATCAACCATGGTTCAAATGACTGTGTTCCCTCCAGTCTCTGGGAGTTCTACTCTGAAATCCATTCCTATCTCCTCCCAAGGTCGGGACAGTTCTGCCACCGGCTGTAGAAGTCCTGGGGGCTTCCCAGGTCTTGTCTTCATTGTAACACAGGTAGCACAGCTATTCACATAGTCCTCAATGTCCTTTTTCATCACTGGCCATCAGAATTGTCTCCTGGCTAAGTGCAATGTCTTTAACTAGCCAAAAGTCCCCCTTGCTTTGAATCATGGCTCCTCCACAGAACTTGGATTTGCAGTGTGTTGGGAACGTATAGTTTTAACCCTTTCCAAGCTACACTATCTCTCTGTTGTCTTGGTACCAAGGGTCTGTTGAGAACAGGTTCGTCAGGTGCTGGAAAACTCCTTGCGGCCAAGCTATATGTGAAGCTGTCAAAATGTGAGTTCCATAAAACCCGCCTAGACTATCTGGGCTATCGAATGTCGAGTGAGGGCATGGAGATGGATCCAGCTAAAGTCAAAGCTGGTCTGGTCTGTCAACCCCCACGGACACAGAACAACCTTTTGTGGTCCAAGCTGATGCAAGCGACATGGCTGTGGCTGCAGTCTTACTACAAAAACATGTCAATGGAACTCTGCAGCCATGCGCTTACACTTCCCATGTATCTGCCCAGTTGTGCTTGGAAAATACAGGTGTGCCCAGTTGTGCTTGGAAAATACTACCTACAACCGTTTAATGACCATTCAGTTACAATGGTGCTGAAAAAAATTGGCTTACAACCATTTTTCACATTTGTGACTATTGAAGCCTCCCCATGGTCACGTGATTTACAATTCAGATGCTTGATAACTGACTCATCTTTATGATGGTTGCAGTGTCTCAGTGTCACGTTATCCCCTTTTGCAATGTTCTGACAAGCAGTTAACAAAGTTTACTAATTGTAATTCAAGTATATATATTAAAAAATACTGGATAAACAAAAGATCAGTGCTTTTCCATCTTAATTTTTCTGCTTCTTGAACATTTAACTTACTGTATTGACTCTGTAAACCTCAAATTGAACATTCAACTTATAGACTCAATTCTGTAGAACATTCAACCTTAAACTCAATTAACACAGAGTTGCAAATTCTCATGTTAATTGGGAAACAAATCTGCATTTAGTTTAAAAAACAAGGAAGAATGGTGCACATATTTATAGTATATCAAATGAGCAGATATTCCATTGTCTGCAACATTTAAAAATGAAATTGGCGGAGCACTATGTCATCTGTAGGAGTGGAGAGTCTATAGCTTTTCATAAATTTCTTAACTCCAGAATCATGTTTTTTTTTAAAGTGAGTGAACATTATAACACACATTCTAAAATAATATTGCTCAAAGGAATCAAGGAACCAATCAGGATCTTCAACCCACCACTTTATTCATAAACTTCCAGTAAAATATTTTAAATTAAAGAAAAATTACCGATCATCACTGGTGTTCCTTCGGTCTTGAAATGATTAGCAAGTTCTCTTCCTTGAGAAGCCAGTTCAGATCCCTGGCTATAAAAAAAAAAAATAGCACTAATGCTAGCATGAATGATAATTTGAGAAAGAAGAATAATGAAATATAGCAACCCCCATTCTGAGGTTCATAAATTAGAGCCAAACCAAGTCCTCTCCATGCAACTTTTACCACATAACTGCTGCAAAATAGTCAACAATCCATGATGTTTCACCCAATACCTAATATATGATGCACAATTAATTAGGCCTTAATCTATTTATTTTCTATATAGATCTTCCATCCAGCATTCTTTCCTTCCTTCATTTATCCTACCTATACATAGCACACCTTCCTGTCATTTTCCCCCCACAAAAACTAAGTAGGTTGGGCTAAATGGGAATGACTGACCCAAAGTCACCCAGTGAAATTCTCTAGCTGAGAAGGGGACTGAACCAAGTCTTCCTGGTGCCAATCCAATGCTACATGCTACATCACACTGGCTCTTATCTGGACAGTGTTGATATGGATCCATTAATATTAAAGTTGTGAACTGGCCAAATGGAAAAGGGTTGGGTGTGAAAAGAGCCTACATCATATTCTTTTGCTTATAATGAGACAGATGAAGTGGTACTCATCATAGCATTAATTCTGAACAAAGATTACAGGTAGTCTTCGACTTACAACAGTTCATTTAGTGACCATTTGAAGTTACAACAGCACTGAAAAAAGTGACTTACAACTGTTTTTCATACTTATAACTATTGCAGCATCGGTCATGTGATCAATATCCAGGCTCTTAGCAACCAATTCAGATCGCTATTTGTAACTTTCCCAGCCAATTTTTGACAAATAAAGTTAATGGAGGAAGCCAGATTCACTTAACACAACATGATTCAGTTAACAACTGCAATGATTTGTTTAACAACTCTAGCTTTAATAGGTCGTAAAATGGGACAAAACTCACTTAACATCCGCCTTATTTATTTATTATTTATTTAATTTATATTGCCGCCTATTTGCCCATGGCGACTCAAGGCGACTTACACAATGTAAAACCATATTTAAAACAAAAAAACATCAATAAAAACTAACAAAAAGGATCAAATAAATTAGTAAAGTACAATAGAACAAAATTTGGGAAAGCAAAAAACAAAACAAAGCAAAAAACAAAAAAACCCAAAACCAACTCCCACCCCCCGCCCCGAAGACAGTAGATCACATGAGCCATTTGATAGGCTCCATCCCTCTCTGGGTTCCTCAGGCCGGCTGGCAAAACCAGGTCTTCAGTGCCTTTCGGAAGAGTATTAGTGAGGGGACCATTCTAATCTCTGGGGGAATGATGTTCCAGAGAGATGGAGCCACCATGGAGAAGGCCCTTCTTCTGGGTCCCACCAGGTCTCTCTCCCTCAGGGGTGGGACCCCCAACATTCCCTGCCTCTTCGCTCTAATGGGTCGGGTGGATGTGACTGCAAGAGATGTTTCCTTAGATAACCTAAGCCTTGCTTAGCAATGGGAATTTTGGGCTGAAAGCTGTACTGGATATGAAAGCAAGCTAACACAAAATTGTTGGTGATTGCTAAGTAATCTTACCTGACAAACAATATCTTTGAAGTTATCCCTAATAGCTGACTCAGCACAAGTTGCACTTCAATAGAACCAATCCATTGGCACGATCCAACAAAGTTGGGTGGCTTGTCTCCAACACTGACAAGCGCCTTCAGTTATGTCAGAAGAGAAAGATGGAATAACAGTCAGTTGCACAGAATTCAGTGGAGGCCAGTGGCTAAGAAAGGGATTTTATTTTAAAAATTACATTAGCCTCAATGCTTTATACAAAATGATTGCATAATATGTACCTTTGGCTACTTTAATAAGTATTAGCAGATCATTTGCAAGATCACACAAATGTCTCCTGCTTGAATTGCTCCTCCTAGAGTTTACTTATAGCTACTGCGGGAACACTATTAAAATGTAAACCAGCACCAGATATTCCAGCCAGATAACCTCAAACTGAAACCTAAATTGACACAAATGAGGAAAAGATTTACAGCTTGGCAAGCACCAGGCTTCAGCAAAGATTTGGAAATCGTGTGAATTACTGCAGTGATGGAGCACATTTAGAATCTAGAATCTGGAACAAATAGTTGCCTGTAAGAGAAGACACCGTCAGAAGACGGAGTGCTACATGTGGACACAAAAATGTACAGGAGTATCTGTGCTGGGGAGAAAGAAAAAAAATCACAATCTTGCAATGCAAATTGCACTGCTTACATAGTTGGGTGCAACACTGCAATGCAAATATAAAATAGAAGCGATTAGTTATGGGAGTAGAGAATACTCCCCATGACAATATTTAAATGTAAATAATTATATGTAAATATAAATGAAATCAAATGTGATGTTTGTCTCGACTCCAACACCATCATTTGTCTATATTGTATGGCACCTGGCTTGCTCCCAAAGCCAAAGATGGCCCTCAGTCTGGCAAAGG